TATACAAAACCCAAGTTTACGACATGAATGATATACAAATCTAAAAATTGAGTTATCTCCACMCTGCAGTTTTTCACAGAAWTCCAGTATTTTGAGTGGGGTATTGTTGAAAAAACATGAGTAATAAACTCCTTTTTTTACGCAGATATAGGAAAAAACTTTGTTTTAAAGTCAAAACAATTTTTCAGATTTCACCTTAAATAATATTGTTTTCTTGTGGTCAATGTTATGCAAATTAGGTATATGTAGTTTTACATTAAAAATATCGTTTTTGGATATTTTTTGTAATATTTTTGCAAAAAACTCATGAAAGTTACACTTAAAGATGGGGATTTTTCACACATCATTATTTGTAAAAGTATTATAATAATAATGCCTACATTATGAATCACTCAAACACACACACACATATATAATATATAATATCATATATTATTATTACAACTTACAAGAATAATGAATTAAAAGTACTTTGACATAATACATCGTGTATATTAGTTATAGCGTTCTTCTCAAAATAATTATTGAAAACCACCTGATAACTAATATACAACATGTACCATAAGAAAAATTAAAATTGAAAAGAATTATAAAATATTTTGTTTACACCATTGTAAAATTATAGTAGGTAAAAAATAAARATACGGTCGTATTAGGGGCCATCATACATTTATTCAGTATAGGTAGGTATATGCTAAAAACTAAAAAAGAGGAGTACAATGTTCCCTTTAAAAATTGAGTACTTCTCTATAAAGAAATTTAATTAAAAGTGAAATAATCATTTTAAATTTATATAATATGGCATTTGAATAATTGCAATAGTTATAAAATTTATCAAAAATATGTTTTGGACATACCCGTTACCTCAATTTTAAAATTACATATAAACTATAAAGACATATTATTATTATTATTATTGAATAAAATTTGCACAGATAATAGTCATGTGTTATCATAAACTAAATTAATATCTTTCGTGGATGTATAATATCGGATAGAAGGCAAGATAGGAGAATCACAATGAATTGGAAATAATTCAAACTTTTTAAAACTTTTCTACAAAAAATAAGTTGTGTTGTTGAAGTTAAATTTGCTCAATTTTAAAACGAAGTTCCTTATACTTTATTCATATATTTGAATTGGTCTTCATATACGTGTCGTRTATTCAAAATAAGTCAAAGACGCGGAAAAATCTCGTATAAATAAATATTTATTATTAAAAAAATAAGAGAAAAATCTATAAATATTTTATTCAGATGGTATTTGTGAAAATAAATTTGATTATTATATGATATGAAGTTACGCAAAATATATTTTCTGTTCGTAATTTCAATCGAAAATAACCGGGCAACCTAAACTCTGATCTGTAGTGAGGTTCGAGTGAATACTGAATAGCAACCTAGTCTTTGAGTCACTAGCCACTACAACAATGAGTCTGTTAAACTTGAATTCAATTATAAATAATTGCAGACGAAAAATGATTCTAAAAGGAACCTGCTTGTCCAGATCTATTTTTGGTAAGATTATTCATATAAAAAAATGAACTAACAAAAAAAAAGGTCTTCACTTTGAAATATTTGACTTTTACAAACATTCCGGGGGGTTTGGAGGTTACAACCCTCAAACCCCTCCCTTGGTAGCGCCTCTGTGTGTGTCAGCGTCTAACATTTTTTTTTTTATGAGTAACACACTATGTTTTTAACAATATCATATGTGATGGCAAAAGTTTTCAATTAGAACAAAATAACTAAAGCCGTTGTTTGGAAAATAGTCATTTTTCGTTTGAATATTCTACTTCTTCAAAATTTAAGTTTCGAATGACTATATTACATATTTGCAGAAAACCGGTGTTGCGTGAATATTCCATTAAGTTGTTCTGGTAATTTTTTAAAAGTACTAAAAGTTTTCTTAATTTTAAGAACCTACTATATAGATTCAAATTGCTACCAGATGCCATCAGCAATATTCAAGTTTGAAACAATTGTTTAGCTCCAAAACTTGACGTTTATGACAAAAACAAAAATNAATACTAAAATGTCTTATTGATTGTAATTTAATTTAAAACGTTTGGATTTTTTTTTTTCAATTTTGATAGTAGATTTCAATAAATATACTAATTATGTCATTTAAATACTCGAACGTTTCACAATTTGTATTACATGTTCTATGAGTTCGAAAAATGGATAAAATATAATTAAAGAATGAAATAATTTGTTACGTTATGTTGTTCGTGTCAAATGTTAAATGTTAAATATTATTTTTCTCTATACTTACAGCTGTTCTGCGCTGATCGATAGTTCTCCTGGAATCACTTTTTCTATTCTATTGCTTTCRAGGTCTCTGAAAAATATTATCAAAAATAAAATAATTGAATCGTTAACTATTTAAATAATTTAACATAGATCAAGATTCTTACACTATGCGAAGATGTTGGTTGGTCCTCAATAAACTTAAGAACGGTGGTTTCTTGATTCCCGTTTGAACAATTTCCCTATTTTCAAATAAAAATCGTATTATATAATACCTATTTAAATCATATTATTATTTAATACATCATGACGATTGTGAATAATATATTATTTATAATATTAAAATTATAGRTTTATATAGTTTCTACATTAGCTGACAATACAATCGAAGATTGCATTTAAAATGATTAAATTATAACCAAGTTATTTTCGAAACTGATGGTTGAAATACTAAAACCAAGCAATTGTTAAATTTTACATAATATTTGTTTTAGAAATTTTCATAAAAGTATTTTGGGAAATTGAAAAATACTAATTTCATAATATTGTTTGTCATTAGCAACTAAAAATAATTATCACCTATCTACTCGTACCTATATAAATACCTATCTGTACAGGATTAGGATATAATATTTTATATAAGGCCGATTCACATTTACGTATGGTCTGTCGATTGGTAAAATATATCTATGTATAATATAAATGTAGATATATTTTACCCATCGAGAGACCTTGACTACCTATACTATTATTGTGAATCGAGCTTAAATGTAATTTTAAAAAAATGTATTACTATAAGTAGTCTTTCCTAAAAATCGTCCATACATAAACAACTATTTATATTTTTTCTATAAAAAWATAAAAATCAATTGAAAGACGTTTAAAAACGCTATACGTATGAGTAARAAATGCATCTATTGATGATTTCATAGTTTTAATGAACAAAACTTTCTACAATTTCTGATGGTTTATAGTTGCAGCAATGGTTATGGAAACACTAGAAACTAATTAGTTTTTTTATATTTTTCTAGTTTTATTGAAATTAGATGACGTGTATTGACCAACGGAGTAATAATAAACAGGGCTTCAATATGAAATGACTCTGTGTTCAGAATCTTCTTTACAAACCTTTTGATAAATGTATTCCTAACAAAATTTCAAAATATTTACGTGCACATTACAAAAATATTAAAACCAATCAATAATCTATGTGTTTTATTTCTTTGATTTTTG